TCCCCCGCCCTGCGGGCCCCGTCCCTGCTGGTACCCCCAAGTGCGTCTCAGCAGGGCTGCTCTCGATCCTTTCTTCCCCTAGCCTGTATTGATACCAGGGGTTACCCCGACCCAGATGCAGGACCTTGCACTTGGCCTTGTTGAACCTCATGATGTTCACACAGGCCCACCTCTCCAGCTTTTCCAGCTTGCCTTGTTGAATCTCTGTTCCCAGAGCTCTTTGAGGAAATTTGCAAGGTCATGAAGTGTTGAGATCCTCCTCATATTTTTAGAAAAAGAGCATAACCTCACACATTAAAATATCAAATAAACAACATGACCAGAACTGCTATGTTAAACTTGCTCAGTTTCACCCCCTGGCAAGAGACCCTGCCCTGCCCTCTCTATTTTGTTAATTACTGATTTCATTACTTGTCCCTTGTCTGGGATCTAATGAAGAAGCTAACTGTATGTGGCCAGTTTGGTTTATTAGATTCTTCCTAACAGATTTTTCCAACTACAAACAACTGCAGCCCACCAGCCCTATATGTTTCATACAAATTGCCTGATGACCCTTTACTTCTGATGTATTCTCCCCAAGTAGGGTTGGTTAATAGATAAAAAAAAGAAGCTGAATTGTGGAGAAGAGCTCTGCTTCAGGGTAACACAGAAAACAAGGAACAGCACTTGGGCCATGCAAGTGTGAGGTCCAATGTCTGCTGCTAACGTACCACTTGGAGGGAGTTTTGGGGGTCTGTGCTGTAACAAACGTACAAATTGGCATAGTGTGTGCTTTGTATCATTTGTGAATGCTTTTGTGATTTTCTACCTATCCGGTTCTTTAAGTACAGTTGGGTTAGAAGGCAGACTGATTTTTGCCTCAACTAGAGACCAGTCCCTGATAACACACAACTTTCTGCTTTAAAGCCTGTTTATTGTCTTTGCATTTCCTAATCAACGGACTTGGTCATGCTGAGTCACTCTGCTCTTTTAGTATGACTTCTTATTGCAGATGACAAGTGTCAGCAGTTGTCTCTAGTTTCGAGTTACAATAACGACTTTATTTGTATTTGGATCACCAGCATTTTTGGCCTTCATGTATTTGGATCACCAGCAAATTTATTTTCAACAGGCTTTATTACTACAATCCTGTTATAAAAAGAGGTGATGAGCAGGACGTAGACTGCTAGTAAATGCTTTCTTTAAATACCACACTTTGCAGATTGTGCTACAGAAAACCAAAGAAAATAATCCAAAGCAATAACTAAACTTAAAACCATGGCTTGAGTCAGAGCTTGTGAGGTCACTGGAGCCTGAGTAGCTGATAGGGCAAGAGGAAGCACATGGCTGGTGTTGCTTGTAATGTCACTGGTGGCACAGACTGCACTGATAGTGGAGGTGTCTCCTGCTGGTGCTCCCGCTAGCTTCTGTCATCTCTTCAGTCCTTCAAGGGGGCTGGTGTTGGAGCACTTGGTAAGGAAACAGTCAGTCTTCTTATCAGAGAAATTAATGAGAAGAAGGGGAAGTCATGGGAGAAAGGGGGATGAAAAGGCTCTAACATGGTAATTTAAGGATGAACATATAAAAAAGATTTTCATCTCTGAACTCTTCACTTTCCTGTGTAAGATTCAGCTCTGGGTCAAATGCTTTAAGCAGCCATTTTCCCTCTGTTCCATCCAGCAACATCCAGGTATCCTGAGCCTGTTCTTAATGTTGTAGGTGAAATGTCTGAACAGGAGACAAAACCCAGTGTTGTAAACAGAGACTGCTTTGCTGGGTCACTCTTCTGTTGTGGGTGGGTTTGGGCCACATGAATAGGCAGCTATAACAGGAGATGGAGATCACAGTGAGCTGGGAGGTACAGGTGCAGAAGGTGTTCTGCCTTTTCTGAAGCTGAATATGTTACAGTAATGATGATGTTAATATAAGACACAAAAATGATGATGAGTGTATCCAGGAGAAAAAAAACACAGCTGTCAAGAAAATTGGGTAGTTCAGGAGCTCTGTGTCCCTGCAGTGAAGTCTGAGTAAGAGTGAGCTATCACCTTTGGTTAATGGCTAGAAAAAGTTAATGGCATCTGGGCTGCAGAAGGACATCTGGGAAAGTACAGTCCCTGGGCCAAAAATAAGGGGGAAGTGCCCTGGCCAAGACAAGACAAGCAGAACACATATTTCCGTGTCTGTTGTGCTTACATAGTGTAGTGGCCTACAGACGGCCATGTAACTGTTCTCAAAAAACACATATTATTTTGGATAGCCAGCATTGGTTCCTGTTAAATTCTCTCAAGCAATAAGGGTCCGCTTTCTACTCACCTCTCCAAGTATGAGGTATTTTAGCTTTTGGTGAGCAATTCAGTTATTTGTCTCGATTTCTTTCCAGTCCTTATATCTGAGGTGCCCTCCTTTGGGGCCATTGGGCAAAAGTAAAAGATTAACTCTTATATTTCTTATTTTGTATATTAATTGTAATGAAATTTATATCAGAGAAGGAATTTGATCAGTTTAGAGATAGTCAGCAAAGCTGATATTTTATTTTTTTATATATGTCTTTTTAATTTGTACCTACAAGGTGCAGTTTTCACTGAACACAAATCTCTTAATTCTGCAAGATATGATGACTTACATATGTTGAGTGAATAGAGCCATTCCTTGTACCTTTATAACTTGGCTTGTTTCTGTCTTCTTTGAATACTTCTTTACATACAGTTATTTATCCTTTTTCTTGTCCTTCACCTCTCCTACTTCTATTTCTTGTAAGGACTCATCATCTCTCCTAGAATTTAAAACAGATATGGCCAGCCTTTCTATAACCCAGAATATATATAAATATAACTGCCACATGCCTTGAGAACAGCTTATAGACATGGTGAAATGCTGGATTCCTAAACTCCTGATCTGTGTTGCCAGCTAGCCTCTGGCAAAGATGTCTCTTCATCCCATCAACGATATAGTACGTGAAAATCAATGTTGTTGCCTGTGCTTTTTGGCACTTGAAAAGAGGAGCAAGGGGTGTTACTACTATAAGACTCAAGGTGGTGTTGGGTCACCTCCTGCACATTTCTGTCTGTATCTCTCTTCTCAGATTGCATTTGAATAGTTTTTTCAGTTCTGTAGTACTTTTATGCCACTTCGAACAGCATCTAGCACTCCCTGTGCAAATACTCAGTCTTTTGTGTCCTTTATCTTTTAAAAAGATGTACCATTGTCTATCCATGGACATCGAAAGCAGCTGGCATGATGAGCTTCTCAATGAAAGAAGAGTTACTGAAGACTGCGTTAGGAATTTTGTATGTTAACAACCCTAAACTTTACCACTTGATCCTCTTGAGGTAAAAGATATCTTCTAAGACTCGAACACAAATATATTTTTTAATAGCAGAATCATTTTTACTACTAACCAGTTCTATTTCAATTGAACAGATCTCATTTTTACTATGTCTTTGGCATGTACAAAGTATCCTTTCTTGAACATGCACAATATCCGAGTTTAGACATTTTTTTATTCAACAGTACACAGTAGACCCATCTATGAACATGCCAGAGAAAGCATCCCAAATGAATATGGTAAACCAAAAAGAACAGGAGTTGTCTTGTGCTCCCCAGCTGAACATTAAAATTGAAGTAGTGGATTTAACAGGCCACCTCATGGCATTGAGGATCAATAAAATACAGAAGTAAGGGGGGGTCAGGAATGCTGTCATTATCTAAATTCAATGAAAATTTCTGTGGGATTTCTATTACCTGTGTTGTGCTTCATTAGACCTTGCCATTTCAGTTTACATACATACCATGCATTGTAGATTGATGTGGTTTATATCCAACATAAGGGGCAGACATCTTAGCATTGTGAACTTTGATTTCAGGCAAGGGTACCATTGCATGCTGCAGTGCTGAGTACTACAGCGCCTAAATGCCATTTGACAAGGTCCCATATGTTTCTCTCTAACTTTGCCAGAAATCAGTAGGAATCATTGTAGGCCTTCCACTTCTATATAGTAGAAGACACCTACAGATTATGTCCTTCTTTAACTATAAAGGGTAACCATATTGCTGGTGGCTGCAACTGGCTGTCATTTAGCACCCTGCCACACAAGTCATGCAGAAGGAGTGTGGTGCTTTTGGGACAATTAAGGGCCTCCCCACAAGGAATTGTAGTCATATAACATACCATAGAATAACTAATGGAGCAATCATTGTGGCATTCATGTGAGATGAGGGACAGCATGAACCTTGCTCTTCTGCATCTCAGGAAAATTTACACTACCTTATACTGGTTTCCCCACTCCTCCCATCTCTCTGAATGCTTACCAATTTACACGATGTAGGAAAGTTCTTGCAGGAAAGTTTGAGAAAAATAGGAAAGTCCAAATGCTTATTTGAATGGAATGGCAACCAGCTCTAAGACACTGTTTTCAATTTGGAAGGAAAGGATTTGTACCTCTACAGGAATTCAGTAACTATTGGGCATCCAACTCACTGAAGGTGGGCCTGGTAGCTCTGGTTTATTATTTTTGAGATCTTGGTGTTATTCCCAGGTAAGGGGAATTCTTAAAACTCCACATGTATTTGTGGAACAGCAATATTCACTTTGGCTTCCTTCTTGTAAGACAGGAAAAAACAATCTACCATATCATTATTGTTACTATTTCTCTATGACTAGTCAGAGATTCAGACAAATAAAAGTTTGAATCAGTTGGACATGTGGTGTAGTGTAACTGCAATTATATGCAAAACTTGTCCACTTGTAAATGTGGGAGTTTGCTTTCTTAAAAGTAAATGATTCATGGCAATCTTGTCACTGAAATCAGGAAGAACAAACCGCGTAATACCAATGTAGTGTTAAAAGGCAGGCATTCTTTATTCACGGCGCCGGATGCACGGGGGATTGCTCCACCTAACGTGCATACCATCAAGTGGCAACTTGTCCCATTTATATGCAGCGAAGTATTACATATGCATGAAGTTTCCCAATATGCCTATACATATGCATAACCTGTCTCTGCTTTGTATTAAAATTAGCTTCAGGAGGTCAT